ATGCATAATCAGACTTCTCCAGTGAATCCAAGTCAACTTTTTAACAGAATCATATACAATTATAAGACACACGAAGAACTTAAGAAATGCTTCTACTATATGAGTTGGCAGCTTACCCATTATTTCTTTTTGGTAATGGAATGCTTCAGGAAACAAAAAAATCTGGTCTGCTTCAGTTATTGGACAAAAAATCTGCTCCATCAAATTCCATTCCTGACAACACCTTTTTTGTTCTAGATGGAGGATTTTTACTTCACAAAGTAATTTGGCAATTTTCCTCGACGTATAGGTCAATTTATAAGTGGTATATAAATTATATTTTGTATAATTATGGGCATAGAAGCATTGTCGTATTTGACGGGTACGACCTAAAGTTCTCAACAAAAAATCAAGAACAAACACGGGAGGTACTTGAAAAACACTTGTTCTGATATATTATTTTCCGACGAAACCACAGCTACTGTAAAGCAATCTGAGTTTTTGTCAAATAAAAACAATAAATAGTATATTATATACCGAGGTGGAAAGTGTTTCTGCTGCGCCCCGGTCTAACTAAAATCTCTCGACAGTAATGAAACTCTCAACCGAGATATGTATACTATTTTATTTACAATCATTCGAATTTTGTAATTTTTATTTGAATGAAAACAAGAAAAATACAATAAATTTTAACAATTTCATTCACTTTCGGCCCAAGGGAGGAAAGTAAACTTTCAACCTGTGGGTTGAAAGTAACAGTCAAAAAATGTAATAAATTCTAACAATTTCATTTACTTTCGGCCCACGGGCGGAAAGTAAACTTTTGACCCGTGGGTCGAAAATGAAAGTCAAAAAAGTGACATTTTCAAACTTTTCATAAGTCAGAAAAGTCAACATTACATGCATGATTGTAAATAAAAACTATTTATTACCCAAATAACTAAGCATTTACAGGCATCTAGTATTAAGGTTATATTCAAGCAGAAGGTGACGCAGACATACAGGATGTCCCCGTTCAACTGGTCAAAAATGCTAGGGCATATAGAGGAACCATAGAGAAGTAGTTTGAGATATCTAGGACACCGATGATCGGCAGTCGCAGTGCGTCGTTTCCAAAATACAGGGTGTTAAAATTGATGAAAACTTTTGGCAGCATTTATTGTCACTAAGCTATGATTTGTTTATGTTATCGCTGTGACAACATTATTTGGCTTTTTTACTATCATGGATATTGTAGTAGAAAAACAGCTGCAAGTCCGTTTCTGGACAAATCAAAGCAACTGCAATTTCTTAAAAAGTTGCATCACTACCTATAATTTAAATCCTGAAAATTTCATTAAAATCGCTAGAAGCGTTTTTGAAACAGAAGGAAAAATTCGATTTTTTTGTAAAATTTCAACCCTTTATTTTGGAAACGCCGCACTTCCGACCATCGGTGTCCTATCTCAAACTACTTCTCTATGGTCTTTCTATACCCTAGCATGTAGATATTGTAGATAAGGCGCTAGAAACAAGAAAATCTGAAAATTCGGTTACGGTTGTGGGTGAAGACACCGATTTAATGCTCTTATTACTAGATATACAAGAAGAGTTTTATTTGTTAAGGCCTGGTAGTTCTGCAAAGCCCAACAAAATCCCCAAAGTTACAAAATTACAAGATAGCATAGGCCCTGTGAACAATACGATTTTGTTTTGTCACGCAATTTCCGGATGTGACACTATTTCTGCCATTTATAAGAAGGGAAAGTTGTCTAACCTACAGGGTGCTTGAGAAACAATCAGACTTGAATCATAAAGTGATGGTATTTTTTGATCCCAAAGCAGACAAACGTGATGTAACAGCTATTGGTGAACAATTTTTATTGGCTCTCTATGGTGCTGGCAAAGCAGTTAAAACCTTAGATGATCTTCGGTTTGTTAAATTTTGTAATAACACAGCATGAAAAAGTTGAATTAGCATGTTTACTACCGTCAGATGCTGCAGCTCACCACAGTATGAGGGTCTGCAAAGACAAGATTGATTGGGCATGGCGAATGTTTTTTGTCTGTAACATCAGATAAACCAGTGGCTCCCTAATTTATTCCCGAAATGATATATTGCAATTGCAAAACGGACTGTTGTTAACTCTGTAGCTGCAAAAAATGAAGTCTGAATTGCTCTAATCTATGTGGTCAATGTCTGGGAAACTCTTGAAGCAATATATTCCGAGAGTATGTAGATGATGAAGACCTGTTTGATGAAATAGATACTTAATTTCTCAGTTATTTTCAACTATCCCTATTTGTATTTGTTTAATTTTAAGTAAATACTTCTCTATTCTGTTTTATATAAATAAATGAAGCGTTTAACAATGAAAACTAATATATTTTATTGTCTTTAGCACTGAAGTCAGAATTTTAATATTGCTTCTGCTTTTATGCACCTAATTAACGTAGTTGGTCATAACAATAATTAGTTATCTGTTGCCTTCAGGTTTTGCTTGCCCGCTTGTACGCCACTGGATACACTGACATCGTGTATTACATCAATTTGTAGGAAATTTTATTTTCTTTAAGTAGGTAGGTACCTTTTCTTGAAAATTTCCAAAAAAATGGACCGCTGGCGAGCCATTGGTAAAAAACAAACAAAACTCACTTTTAGGGATGGTTTGAGGATATTCCGCGAAGTGAAGAGCTGGGGACTTTTAGTATGTCAGTCAAATAGGATAGCAAATGCGACAGAAATCCGCAACTCTTACGTGATTTTTTTCCATATTCCAAATAAATGCCCAAGACTAGCTGCAAAACCGTTAAAACTAAATTGAAATCTTAATTTACAGGCTTATGGAGAATTTGGTTGGCTTAAATTAGAGTCTAATTGCCTTGAAATCGGATGAGCTGTGGGGCAAAAACTGTCTCCGTGTCATTTTTGGAAAATTTCCAATGTTCGATAATTCCAATTTTAAAGATTTTCAGATGCGAAACTAATGGAGCAAATATACATAATAATAAGTCATATGAGCCAATAATATGTCTAGTGTAAATACAAAAACTATCACGATAAACGCAAAAACCTAATAGAAATTTTCAAAAACTCGGGTTTTTGCCAACCTTGCCATAACTTCTAAATTTCTAGATTCCTGACTCGTTTTGTCTGTATTATTTTGTTGCATATTGCTCTGATTTGAAGATTTTCTTTTCTATTCTCCCTCTGCTCTTTTTCCTCCTTTTCACTATTCCAATCGATCATTCTGTAAAGACTAAAGACTAGAAAAGGAAGCCCAAAGACAAAAAGAAAAGCAAGAAAAAAAAAGTTTAAAATTAAGAATATGGGACTGGCTTCAGGAAATGTAAGTTTGAGAAAATCTCCAATACCTCCTTTACATCAAAAAATGGCTCGTTTTACTTTAAAAAATTACAATATAGTTGAAGAAATCGATATAGGTATAGGGATAAAATTCAAAAAAAAAGTCTGGAATCTGCTATCGACGAACGTAATTTTGTACCTGAACTTGAGAGGCAAAGAATAAAAAGAAATAGTTTGTAGGGGTCAAACAAACAATAATAATAACTCCGTTCAAAATGAACAAGTCCTCGAGGCAGGTAAATAAACCATTCCGGTAAAATTCCGCTTCCCAATCCGGTCGGTTCTGGTTTTTAAAGACCTAGTGGCATCATGCGCAAAACGTTCTAATAACAATTTTTTTCAAAGTTTTTGTTTTATTTTTTGTAAAGGAAAGTGGCCTGTCGAGGTACCCGCAGGCCACCGGACCGGCCGGATTTTAGTTTAGTTGACTTTTCACTCCAAACACGAGCTGGTTGGTGTTGATGTCTTTATAGGTGAAATTGTTTGTTTGTTTTTTTTTTTTGTTTTGGTGAGTACCTATCTGACATTGAATTTTAAGTATGTTCTTGAGTGAACTTGAAGTTGAGGAGTTTCAAAAAGAATGTTCATATATAGTAATTTTTAAGTGTTCAGTTGATTCTACAATATTACGGAAATTTCTAAAAGGTATATTGAAACTACTATTATTATTATTGACCTTAAACTTAAAAACGTGTAAGTACCTCTAATTATAATCCCAGGATTTCTTTTTAACGGCCATTACGGTAAAATTAAATTTTGCAACATCTTATCATGCACGACTGTAAGTCAAGCTGCCTTATTACTTCTTAGGTTACTTCTTATTTTTTCAGCTCAATTTTTGTCTATTCCAGGGTCTTGAATTTTCAATTTTTTTTTTCCCCAAATTTAAGGATTTTCTCAATTTTTTTATCCGAGGATCTGAAATTTTTTTGGGGAAGAAAAATAAAGCAAATTCAAGAGCCTTGAATAGAAAAAAATTGAGACGGAAAAAATGAGAATGAAGAGGAGAAAAATGAGACATTTTTCAAAGGATTTAATAAGTTTGAGAATAACATTTAGGTCGGATTGAAATTAACAAAGTTGTGGGGCAAAATTTGTGTCGATGTCATTTTGAAGTTTACCAGTTGAGAAATATTTCTGATTCCAAGCTCTTGGATTTTCTCTTTTTTTTTTATTTAGAGATGGAAAAAATGAAGAAAATTCAAGAGCCTGAAATAAACAAAAAGTTAGACGAAAAAAATAGGAAATGAAAAAAAAAATCAATAATACTGTAGAGAATTACAAAAAGAAAAAAATAGTAAGTAATGGGGAAAAAAGTTCAGAAACAGTAAGGTATAGGAACAATAATTTACGAAAAATAAAAAATACATATTGGGAAAAAAGAGAAAAAAAATAGAAAAACAAATGCTTGAGAAATCGGGAACAACCAATGAAATTAAGAAAACGGATTTATTGAATTTTCCATATGATAAGATAACTTTCTGAAAATCCTTTGACTAGAAATCAGATTTTTGAAATGTTTTTCAATTAAACATACAAATAGGTAGGTAGTAATTGTTTCTGATAAAATAGTATTGACACAATACTCATAGGCAAAAAATATGGAAAAATAAAATACAGGTATATTTTAATAATTTCAACTAAGGTCAAAGTTAAATGAAATAAATAGTAATACCTATTATAGTGGTTCATTATTATCTAAAAAAAAAATCACACACTGACTACTTAGAATAATAATTGTCACCTCATTAGTTTCTTATTAGCGGCACTCAGATGTAAATAAAAACAATGCATGAAAACTTTTTGAAGTCACATTCTGGTACATTTGGGTACCTATAAGATCCTGTAAACTGATTGAGAACTACTGACAGCTGCGGTCGGTTTAATTAAGGCTTTTATCGGGTATAAAATAATAATATGATCTAGCATAAGTGCTTAGTAGTGGCACTCAACAGTTTTGAATCGGTTCAAAAGTTTTGCTTCTTGGGATTTTTAATTTTAATATTTTTTTTTGTTTTGTTTAAAAGGTGAGTGATTATTTGCAAATTTAAATTTAAAACGTACACATGGTTTTCAATAGTTTTAACCAAAAGTTGAATTAATTTTCTTGGGTTTCCAACTTTTTGTGTGCCACTGATATCAGTTTACATCATTAAAGTCCAGCGTTTTTGAGTTAAATCCGGATTTTTACTTTTGGAAAATGTCTTTTTATATTTTTCGAAGGATTTTTACTCACAGATAATCTAAATTTTTTTTGAATGGCTTTAACTTGAATAGTAAATAAATGAGGATTAAAGAATGATCCTTTTAAATCCATATACCTAATGTAGAAAAATAAACATTTTTATAACTAATTGAATTTTGATTAATCCCTTAACAATAAGGTTCATTATACCGCAATATCGACGAAATTTTTATTTTTTTAATACCATCCTACCTATATAAACATATTTCTTACTTAGTTTCGGACTGAACTAAAGACAGTTTTATAAGGCTAGTAGGTAGCTATAAGACCAATTTTACTAAAATAATTGTTTAAGTACGGAGGTTTGGTCAATTATAATTTTTAAATATAAAGTAAGTAGAATTTTTTCACCATTTGACGATTACTTATAATTTTTCCTTTCTTATTTTCACTGTTTGCAACAAAATATCCTTAATAATTATTGCAAAACTACCAAATGTTGGGTTTCCTTCAAAATTGCTTGAGGAACAAATTTTCCTTCAATCTAATCACTGTTTTATCTTCAATTCGAATAAATCCCAAAAAATTAACATTATGTTGTAGAACTAATTGGAAAAACATTTACATAATTTGATATTCAACGACATCAATTTTCGGTTTTGATATTATTTTTTAAATAAATTCAAAAAATTGTATTATTCTAAAAATTATTAGATATTAATGTGCTTTTTTTTTTGTTCCAGGGAAGACAATGTTAGAGAAAAATTCCTACAAGGTCAGTAACAGCGATCAAAAAAATAATTATCAAGATCTAAATGGTTTCAAAACGAAACAAGGCCCCATTATTACCTGTATAAATGGAGTCGACAATCTGGGATTAGGTAACAATTATAGAATTTAAAAAATCGAAATTATTTGCATATAAAAAAAAAAAATGTTGTTGCTCTTATAAACAGAGTTGGCATACACAAAAACCCAGTGGGCTTTGGGCTTTTTGTGTCGAAAACCCATGCCAAATATCAATCGAAAATCCAATATTATTCGCATTTTTCTTATCTATTTTAACACTTAAACAAAATAAAAATCCTGAGGAAAAATAGTCAACTAATAGGTATTAATCAAACATTTCTTAGATACATAAGTAAAAATCCGAAGGAATTTTTCTCAAGATTACTACTAGTACTTAGTAACGTAGGTAACTAAAAAAAGGATTTGTACTGTCACGGCTCTGGCGTGCGTGACAGAAATCTCGGGTCCGTTTATTCATAAATCCAAGTCCAATTACCTAACACAATTTCTGGTCCACTGCTTTGTGATGCAGCTGAACCGTATTCTGTATTCGTATCATCCCCTCCATCGTCACCCTCTGATTCTGAGCTTGACTAATCATTGCAACTTTCAGGGAGTTCCCAATTGGACATCTCTAGTCGAGTATCTGTCCCTTGTTCTAGTCTTATCATCGCTTCTGATGTTTTTTCTATAACTTGGCTTCTGTTTCGCCTGATGACATTATTTTCTGGGTCGATAATGTGTGTTCTAGATGCAGGTCCAACATCCATTACTTTCCCAAACATTTTCATCTCGGGTATCCAAACTTTATCGTTATTTTTCAAGGTAGAATTTGATCTTGCTCTATGTCACTTATTGAAATTCAATGTTTGAATTTCTTTTTCGTTGCTTCTGACTTCCTTGAGGTCGTTTATGTAGTTTCACTTAGGGATAAATCTGTCTTTCTTAGCTGGAATTGAATTCCTAGGTTTTCTTCCCATGATCAGTTCTGCAGGTGAATATCCACTCTCTAGTTTTGCTGTTCTATAACTTAAAAGTCCTAAGTTTGGGTCTTGGCATTTTAGAATTCTATTCTCGGCTATTATTACAGCGGATTCCGCCTGCCCATTTGATTGAGGATACCTGGGACTGCTTGTGATGTGACTGAATCCAAATGTCTGAGCAAATTGTTTGAATATGTCGCTAGAAAAACAAGGTCCATTATCTGATCTAATGGTCTGTGGTATCCCATCTTGAATCTTGACAACATGGGTTTCAGTTTCGTTATGAAATCTATAGCAGTTTCTGAATTTAAGTTAGCAACCTCTATAAATCTTGAGAAATAATCGACTGCCTCCAGATAATGTTTGTTGTTGGCCACGAATAAATTAACTCCGACGTTCTGCCAGGGGTAATCTGGCACAGGGGAATGAATCATTGGTTCAATTGTTGTATTCCCGTATTGAATGCATGCTCAGCAATTGGTTACAATTTCTTTTATCTGCTTTGAGATTCTGGGCCACCACACCGTTTAATTGTCTAGGCTTAAACAGTTCGTCATGCCCAAATGACCCTCGTGTATTTTGTCCAATATTTCCTCGCGTAATATCGTCGGGATAAATACTCGGTTGTTGCGGGTCACTAAGCTATTCAATATAACCATCTCTCCTTGATATTGGTAGAAAATTTCATCTTCGATTGGTAAATCCTTAATGTGTGGCCGATCATTTTGTATATAAGTTATTATTCTTTTGGTTTGGACATCATCCTTCTGACATTCCAAGCTACTTTTTATGCGCATGTGCTTGATAGGCATTGATTCACGAATATGATTTGCAAAATCTTCCACTTTTTCTATGAGTTCGTTGACGAATAAAATATCCGCTCCATGATCACTGGATTTTAGTGGAGCTCTGGATAATACGTCAGGCATTATCATGTTTCTGCCAGGAATATACTGTACATCATACGAAAATCGCATCAATCTCATTCGGGATCTTTGGATTCTAGCTGATAGATCAGCTAATTGTTTTCTTCCTAGAAGTTCCACTAGGGGTTTGTGGTCAGTCAGGAGCATACATGTTCGACCAAGAAGGTATTTTGCGAATTTTTCGTAGGCCCAAGTCAAAGACAATGTTTCTCGCTCTATCTGCGCATATCGTTCCTCTGTGTCGGACATTGTCCTGAATGCATAGCTGACAGGTTTCCACACATCTTTATCCATTTGTTCCAGGACTGGTCCCAATCCATATGAACTGGCGTCCGCTATGACTCTTGTTGGACGTCCTGGAGCAAAATGTGCTAAAATTGGAGCTTTCGTAAGAGCTTTTTTTATGCTTTCAAATACTCGTTGTTGCGGTTCTGCACACATAAATTCGTTGTTTTTTCGTAACAGTTGTCTTATGGGGTCGGACATTTCCGCTAATCCTGAAAGAAATTTAGTGTTAAAACCTGTATGCAGCCCATCAGTCTTTAAACTCCGCTTATATCGTTGGGGGGTTGCATGTCTAAAATGGCTCGAATTTTCTCTTCATCGATTTCAATTCCTCAATCTGAAATGCTATGGCCTAGAAATGTTACTTTTTTCTTGCCAAATTCGCATTTGTTTCTATTTAGTTTTATTTTTTTTTCTTGGAAACGTGTTAGCACGGTCTTCAAACGGGAGTCGTGTTTATCCTTGTTCTTACCAAATACTAATGTGTCCTCTGCTACATTGACTACTCCCTTTAGTCCTTCCAAAATCTCTAACATTTGTCTTTGAAACCTTTCTGTTGCCGAAGGCATTCCCATTGGCAAGCGTTTAAATGCATAGCGACTAAATGGCGTTATAAATGTTATTATAAGTTGCGATTCCTTATCCAGCGGAATGTGATGTCTAACTTGCTAAAATACTGACAGCCTGCTTCAATTTGGGACAATGCTTCTTCAACATCCGGTAATCGGTACTAATCTTTCTCGTTCCACATTTTTATTGAGAACTGTATAGTCTACGCATCTTCTGACAATGCCATCCTTCTTGGGCACTACCACTATTAGTGCACACGAAGGGGTTGGCTCTTTAACCTTGTAGATTATTGATTGGATTTTTAAGATAAGATGTTGGAAATGGATAGGAATTCTACGTGGCGTAGAAATTGCAAACTGCTTTTAAAGTAATTTGATACGTTTCTCCTGCATCTCCGATGCCTTCGAATAGGGTTGAAAACTCCTTACTGATAGCTATCGTGTCAGAGATCGCCATTTGTTCAAGCTAACATCTTTAGTTATTCTACAGCGTCTCTTCCTCGTAAATTTTCATGCAAATTATTTGCAATATAAACACGGCCTACGTAACATTAATTTTGTCACGCAATAAACAGTTCAATGATGCCTAAAACCTCGATTTTATTTCTAGAGGCAGATATTAGGATTTTCTGTGAATCGACAAGTTGTCGCTTTTTATTACGGTCACATCTGCTCCAGTGTCAATTTTGACTTTTACTGGAATGCCATCCATGGTATACTATGGACCAGCACTCCTACCAGCTTTTACCAAGCCCAAAAAAGCGAATTCGTCATCGCTCAGGAAGGGAGAAGGAGCAGAGTCCTGAGCAATTACATCATTTATTCTTCGCCGGTCCTGATCGTGTCTGAAGCCTCTTTCACTTCATGAATTGCTACACTTTACCGCCCAGTGTCCTGTTTCACCTGTTGCATTCATCCTTTCTCGCAGGACAATCAACGAGTGTGTGCCTTGGAGTTCTTCTACATTTTCGGCAATCTTTTGTCTCTGTGTTTGATTTTGGGTTTTTCTCATAATTTGAGTTGCCCCTACTGAATGATTTTGGGCGCGCCCCCGTCTGAACGTAGTCAACTTCCAGCTTTTCTTTGATAATTGGATTGGAAGTAGGGAGATTGGCTCTCACTCTTGCTTGTTGCTTGTGCAATGTTTCGGCCAATCTGCAACGCCTTACCACATGTTCCAATGTGTCATCTGGGCGTGCTTGTAGCGGTACTGATAATTTATTATCCGCTAACCCTGCTATTATTCTTAATTTAATCATTTCTTTCTCTAAATTGTCCCATTCACAATTTTGGGTTAGAGGTGAGATCTATAATAACAGAGTCACAAGGCTCATCCGGGCTCTGTGACCTTTGCAAACATTTCATCCTCTCGTATACAAGATTTTTCTTTTGGATAAAATAACAATCAAATTTTGATATTACAGTGTTGAAATCTGCTTGTTGTGTTCGTGTTAAATGAAATGATTTTAGGATTTTCTCAGCTTTTGTGCCTAACAAACTGATCAGAGAGTCAACTTGCTGTCCTGATGAATGATTACTAAGGACTTTTCTTCTGTATCTATTAAATGAATTTTTTCAGTCTTCCCAGTCCTCAGCTTGAAAAGAAAAGTAAGATGGAGGCGGAATTGAGGCCTGATGCATAATCACCGGTGCCTAAGCTGTGTTTCCTGCATTTAGTAATTGCTGCTGCTGCAATCTTAATAACTAATTTATTAAGTCTTGTTGCTGATTAAATTCGTCTGCCTCAATCTTATAGCATTTTCCTGTTCACTAGCCATGATTGAAAAATTTGAAGAGAAGACAAAATCAACAAAACAATCCAAAAAGTCTACTTTCTTTAAAAGAAAAAAATATCTTACAGTCTACATAAGAAAACAAGTACCTATTGTCCGTCGTTTTTAATCTGATACTTTCCGTATGAGGAGCGAGGAGGTGAAGTATATGGCAAAAACAGGTTGGACGTCAGGTGACCATTGGCGTTCTAATGTAGGGTGTGCCACCAGCTCACATTCCTTTCGAGTATCATATTAGAATTGACGGACTTTACCTAACGTAAAAAACAAAGTGAAAGTAATCCAATTCAAACTCTTGGCGACAATTAACAGATACATTATGAAGAGATAAAGGTCAGTGGCGCACCCAGAAAATATGTTTGGGGGCCCTACATATAGGTTCTGGCTTGTGACTGAAAATCTTTAAAAAAAAATTGAGGTGTCAGAGTGCCACGCCTTGGTGTTGCAACATTAAACGTAAAAATACTGTACTGGAGGGGCGGTTTGGGGAGGCCCTGGCCCGCTAGCCCCCCCCCTCCCCCCGGGTACGCCACTGC